GTCCTTTCCAACTTTAGTGATTCTGTGATACCACCATACTCAAGCACCTAATTCATTCCAAATGACAGAGGAATGGGTTTCTTCTTCCTTCTTGTCCGCTCTTAAAGGCACTGATGTTTCTCTGGAGGGAGTAAGCCTACTGCATCTGTATATGACCAACATTTTTAAGATTTATTGAATGACTTACTTTCCATTTTCGTCGTGCTGCAAACTTTTTGAATTTCTCCATATTCACTGCAGATGCTTTTCTACTAAGTGCTTGCTGGGTGTCTTTAGGCTATGCAGAAGAGGAAAATAAAGCTGTTGTAAAATATCCCACAATTACAACCAGAACTTTGATAAAGCACCTTCCTTTGTGCAAGACTCTGTCCTTCAGTGATGACTTCCACTTAACATTGTTATAACAACACTGTAATCATACTGTAATAATAAAGTAATTGTAAGCTCATCATTTTAACAGCATTTTAACATAACATGGCCTAGTGGGCCATGCAGGTGGAATTTCTTGAGAAGATGCCCTAAAGGAAATCTAGAACTAAGAATATTTCATGCAATACTAAAATTTCTTTTTTCATTTTAAACAAAAAAAGCCAACAGAACATTCAGCTTTATCCTTCATCTCCCTCTGTGACAGAGGCATCTCCTAGATAAACCTTGTCTTTTGGGAACATTTCCTGGCTGATTTTAAATGCAGCCAGACTTTGTTCTGGTCTCAGTGTAATCAGCTGGATGCTGCTGGGACCCAAAAAAAGAAAAAAAAAAAAAAAAGAAAAAAAAAAAGAAAAATGACATCCCACCTACCTGTGCAGCAAGCTCTGAGGCTGCACCCTTTGAACTTTCTCATAGACTAATACTAAGCACCAGTTATCAGTGGAGTATACCAAATTTTGCATTTTATGATCTCACAGTTGAAGCAATTTTTACAGAGAAATGAAGGTAAAGGTAGAGATGGGAAGGGGGAAAAGAGGATAAAATCAGTGGGGTGGGGGGAGAATGCCCAGAAAGTTAAGATATAAAGGAATATAACAGGGTACAAAACAACATCCTGTTGCAGGAATGGAGATCTTGTGATCTGAGAGCGAGAGATAAACTTGGACAATGCTCACTTCAGCAGTTTAAAAGATTATTTCAATATGTTTAACATATTTCAACTCTTTAAGATTATGCCACCAAAAAGTCAGTCAAATCTGTAGCTTGGCATACTGGTGTAGAAGCATCTGCCCTAGGATGCTGAACTGTAAATGGAACGGCTGTGGCATGGATAAATATTCTGCTAACTGGTTCTCTGGGAAGTGGAATAGGGTCAAATATCCACTGTGCACACCCAAGACCTTGGAAATCAATGGCACTGAAAGAGGTTTACTACTCACCATCAGAATGAGATATGGAATTGAAAAAATTAACCGGCAGGTATTACTACACACATTAAGAAGAATGATAGGTCCCATTTTTTCCCTTTCAACCTACTGGCACCACAACAGCTTGATCCAAACCAAACACTGTGGAACACTGAAAGGAGTGGACCGTCATCCCACATCAACTGCCTTCTTCAGTCTGAAGAGGAAGGACAGAAGACGGATGACCCTTTTTTGTCCAGTCTAAATAAGGAGATTAGAACATGAAAACTATGAGAGGAAATCGGACTGGATTCAGAGAATCTATCTTTGTCAGTGCAATGCTACCTGAAGACTAGCTTCTCTGCCTGAACATGATTTTAACCTGAATAGTGGGCTAACTTACATAAAGGATACATTCCGCACATATTAATTTTCATACAGACTGCTTTCCAAAGCAGTAAATTATATTAAACAATGATGCCAGTTTTCCTTTTTGAGGAACTTGAAAAGTGAACGCTACGTATGAGATGAAGAATGATTAAAAGCAGGACAATAGATAATGAATTACACGCTAACCTTGATCCACGGATGCAGCAAACTATCTTGAATAGTCATTCTCTTCCTTTAATAGAATAGAAGATAGAACTGTTTCAGAGAGTAGAAAATAAACTAACATCTCAAAATATCATGTAATTTGAAATACTGAAGACATAGGCTGCAACAGTGCATACACAAGAGAAACAACTCACTTTGGATCCTTGACTAGAAGTCTTCGTATAAAATCTTTAGCTAGGGCACTGGTATTACTGAAGAACTCTTCTTCAAATTCATAATTCACAGCAGACACATTTGCTAATGTTTCCTGTTTGGTTTCTCCAAGAAATGGTGATGCACCACTTAGACTGCAAGAAAGACAGAACATTCTTCTCATTACATATTGTAACATCACTGTTTCAACCCTCTGAAATCACCTAGCAGCAGGAAGTGAGGATTTTTCTTTTCTGCTTTGAGACTGCAAACCTACTTTCTGGAAGATGTGATCTAGCAGGGCAAAAAGCTGTGCTATAATTTCAGAGAATATTGGTTAAGATAAAGCCACTGGGGAAAATCACCTACAGATTTGAAGACAGCTTCCCATGCTATCTCAATGCTGATAAATGGCCATTCTCTCAATAATTATACTATTGTTTTTACGATCGTTCAACTTGAATCATCATGTGCAATGAAAATGATATGACCCGTACAGACACCACCAAAAACCCAGAGGATAGAATCAGAATTAAAAAATAGCATTTGCAAGAACTAGCCATAGATTTTGGTACTTACAGAATATAAGTTATTACACCAATGCTCCTGGAGTGAAGGGAGCGGGGGAAGGGATGAAGGTGAGGAAGAGAAAGAAAAAAAAAAAGGTTAGAACGTAAGAATAATCATGAGAGATTTACTTCAAGTAAGATCTAATAACTTACCACATATCTGCTTCAAGGCCAAGAGGCTCATAGTTTACTATTTCAGGAGCTAAAGGAGAAAGCAGGAAGATCAGTATCTAGTCAAAGAGCGGATCTATGTCACTCTGAGCCGATATATGTCAGAGATAATAAGCTAAGATGCTGACAGATAAAAACACCTTAATGCAAGTCTAAGTTAGCACTGAATGCTGCAAATTGCTTGTTTAAATTTCTAAATGTCATGAATTACACAAAAATTGAATAATCTGTAACTCAGTCAAACCAAGCTAAGCCACATATACCGTTTCACAGACTAAGAAAGAATAGTTTGAAGAAACAACAGTTTTCTCACCAACAAACTCTGGTGTTCCGAAGATATTTTTGAATTCATTTCCAAAGTCAATTTTGTGTGCTAAACCGAAGTCAATAATCTTGATTCGAGGCTTTGGTACATTCCTGTCCAACAACATTATGTTTTCAGGCTTTGAGAAGGAAGAAAGGTGAGAGAGAGAGATTATACATAGGTACACAATGTCTGACACATACCAGCATTCTTTAGCACTGCACACTTCTCTTTACCTTCTTCAGTCCCTTGAATTGTCTTCAGCAGAAAAATCCCATCTTTTCTTATGATCTAACATATGCTAAAAATGAACTACAGTAAATTAGGATTTCATGTTGATGACAGAGTACTATGATTTCTACAGGGCCAAGATTTTACCTCTTGTAGATACAATTGCAGTTTTCATGCGGACCGACCCTAAGTGAAGCATGCTATCTTCAGTAAAGACCACAGCCCCTGCACTATGGCCACTCAAACAGTGGTGGGAGGTTGCAAGAAACAAAATCCTATTAAACTACTATTTGGGCTCGGTTAACGTTACTCTCTGAAAGAGGTTTCTTTCACACTGCACAAGCAATCAGGGAAGTATATCTTGTTGCCTTTGGATCTCCAAGAGAAACTTTAGGAGTGGTCCAGCTCCCAGATTTTAAGGCTCAACATACTCACAAAAAAGGATAAAGAGCAGTTTCTCATGTCTTTTCTAGCTATATTTTAAAATATGACTTTAGATTATTTTACAACAAATATTTGCAAAACCAGAACAAAGATGAGATAAAATGTCAAGATTATCACAAAAGGAGCCTGCTTCTGCATTCCGTCAACTTTAACTAGCATAGTGAACCAGCTACTTAGTCTCCATATCCTATCATGTCCATAAGCTGGTAATGCTCTGAAGCATGCCTGGAGCTACATCCATCCTTCTCACATCGTTAAGGACTTCTGGAGTCATTAAGGACAGCTCTTCATCATCACCCACCTTTTACCTCTCTTCCCCAATTACAGGGGCTGGCATGTGCAAACATAATTTTCTTTCTTCCCTCCTTACATTTCTTTTGCATATTTTTACTGTTCTGCGTACTTCAATTCTTGCTTCATACTTTAATTCATATATTCTTGGTATCTGGTGTAAGGATGCTTTGTTTCATTACAAGCACATTGGCAAAAATTTATATTTCATATTGTAAGAAATTTATTTCTTACTAGATTCACAATTCTTTTCTCTTGATGACTGTCATACAAAGACCAAGTATATTACTGTAGGTAATGAGGATGAGACTGCAAAAGGTACGCTTTCCCCTGAAAACCATCTCCTTCCCTACTTCATCCCCAGAACACAGCACCCCTTTCAGAACTGCACTGCAATATAGTAATTATGACTCCTTTTCCTACTACAGACATAGCTGCAGACTTCAGGGAATGTTCAGCTGTGTCCTGGTTTCAGCTGGGGTTAAACCACAAGCTGCCTACCTCTGAAAAAAAGCTTACAGAGAAAAATATTCTCAAGTTGAAGCATTGAAAAAGCAATAACTGAGTTCAGATACAAAAACTCTCTTTTCATTACCAAAAGGATGCAATTAACAGTTTTTCTAAAAACAAACAAAAAAGCCCCAAAAGCAAAAAAAAAGAAGAGGAAATCATCTACTCTGTCTGCTCCACAGGAATCTTTGTATGTAACTCTGTACTGTTTCAATTTGGTACCTAAAAATAATATGCATGTGAACACAGACTGTATAAAACAAGGGAAAAAAAGCTGAAAAAATGGCATCCTGTTCAGAATGTTTCATCCAGATTCCATTCACATTCTGTAAAATAATAATCATAATTTTTATTTCAAGATTGCTTCCTCAGAATGGTCTAATTTCATCAGAAGCTGCCATTTTCCATGAAGAATTTTACATTAAAAACAGATGGGAACTATTTATGGTTCAGTAATTTCTTTTCAATGGCTGAGCTTTCCCCTGTCTTACATAAGCTAGCAAAACGAAACTATGGCCAAGACCTGCATGATGGCAGATTTGTGGCTGGTGTTACAAAGGACTTTAACAGATATTGCTTACAGTTGTCGAAGTTTTTATCTGCTCAACACACCTTAAGATCAAAGTGGGCAATTTGCAGAGAGTGGAGATACTGAACACCATTAAGTATCTGTTTGAGAAATTCTGTGGCTTCCTCCTCCGTGAGAGATTCTTTCTCAGCTAAGAAGTCGAAGAGCTCTCCACCTGCAACACTTGGAGAGCAGAAGCAGTTATTGACGAGCTTGCTTTAATCAGTGGGTTCCTTTTAGCATAGCTATTCTCAGACCAGTCTCGAAAAGGATCCAGATGCTTTAAAAGTTGTCAATACCAAAAAAGAAGATGAAAATTACTCATTACCCAAAATAGTTAGTAACTATCCCTCCTCCCCCTGAAAAGAATACAACAGAGTTGTATTTCCAAACAAAAAAAGGTTTTAAAAAACCAAACATGGTTGTCTGTATCTAAATTTAAATGAAGTAAACCCCACCTACTCTCTGTACGTACATTTAAAAGAGTAAATGTGAAGTGAGTATACTCAAAACATACTAACGTAACAGCACATCTAGAAAATAGAACATGAATTAGCACATACTACCAGTAGAACATCAGATTTCCAACCCCCCCCCCAAAATATAAAATGTAAACCTTCCTTTGAAATAGTTACTAGTAGCTGTCCTACTGTTCAGTTTCTAAACTCCTCAAAGCATTCAACTCTTTGAAAATATATTCTATTCTTTGAAATAGTGTACTACATTCAGCATGTATGTTGCATTTGTGCTCTAACATTGCTACACCTTTCCTACAAGGAAAAGCCACAACTTCCCTTAAGACTATTTCCAGCAAGTGTTTTAGCTGCACCGGCAGAAAGAAGAGAGGTAAGAAGTGAGGAGGCTACATAAGCACATATTGATTTTTGCATATGAGGGAGAGGAATAAAGTGAAGATGACCCTTTTCTCAGTTCAGTGACCAGTCTGGCAGGAGTGATGATAATTGTCAAAAGAAAAAGAGATAGTGAAGTGAAGAGAAAACATGAGCTACAACTATTCTTAAAAAACAACCAGTCTCCTTTCAGTTTAAGGTCATACACTGAAATGACTGTCCACTGCGGCAAACTGTTTATTCTGTTCATAAAAGCACTGTTATTACCTAGAAAAGTCTTAGAGACCGCAAAGACAGTCATGTTGACCCCCATATTTTGCACTGTATTGATATTAAAAATATTCAGAAAGTACACCCTAATTTATGTTGCCTTTCTGTAAGGAAAAAAATAATCTGTTCATGATTTAAAGTTCTGATTATGAAAAATAATGGGATTAACATATAACAATAGCTAAACAGTCTCGGCAAATTTCTGGAAATACATTTGACTTCTTTATCATGTCTACTTTTCAAGAGACTTAATCTGCATTATTGTAATGCAAATTGCATGAAAAGTGTGTTTTAATGAGTTCTTGGAGCTTTCACTGAGCTGCCTAGACGATAATGAGAGTATTGTTTTGGGTATTATTTGTGTTGTAATATTTTCTGCATGAAAGCAATTATTGAAACAAAGTGCCATTAAATATGAGAATTATAGACTGGAAGGAAGAGATGTCATTTTAACAATCTTTTTTTTTGTTGTAGAGACATTAAAATAGAATTCCTAAAGATTAAATACAGTTCATTATTTTACAGAGGCTGTTCAGAAGCATCTTACAAATGGATACACATTCATGTTCTTTCATTCTTTGCTTCTGACTGAAAAAATAGCGAAAGGTTTTCAGGCTACGGTTTGTACCTCTGTGGGACTTCGTGATGATGAACAGAAACCTGGGCGGTGACACAGTCCCGACATTTCTCTTCATTTCCAATTACTGGGACTGACACATCACATGGAACTTGTTCCAGCGTTGCCGTGCCATGCCACGGGGAGCCGGCAGACGCACAGCGGCTCCTTCCCCAGTTGGGCAGCCGTGGCAGCAGCCACAGCAACACCCAGCCCCTTTACGCACTTGGCGTGCTTTGGCACCAGGCTAACAGCCAGGCAGCTTGGAGAGCCGGCGGAGCCGAACCCTCGCCTGAGGAACAGGCTGAAAGACTGCACCAAACACACGGGTATCTGGTCTGCTTTTCACGCAGATCGCCTGCCCTGTCGAACTGTGAGCACGCCCACTGAGGCTTGAAGCAGCCATCGGCAGTCAGGAATGCAAGAGAAGTACTTGGAGCACGCGTCTGCAGCGAAGCCAACTTGCAACGCGGTGCCGCCCGCTCTGCAGCCTAAACCAGGCTGTGATAGTGTCACACGGGTATGGGTATGTTCTATGGCTGGGGGGGAATAAACCTGCTCTTTTTTCTTCTTGCATTTTT